ACAGACGTAATAGATATAGTCTAGACTAGATTTAGAGTATACTAAAATATCGTCTAGATAGACTATGCAGAAATTATCTAGATAATTAATTAGCACATCGTTTATATACTACTAATATATAGCTAGGCTGTTATAAAGTCTAAAAGGTAATACCTTTAACTTATATATTTTATAGCGAGTGCGGAATGTTAAATACTCTTCTAAGTTAGAGTCTATTTAGATCTTATTAAAGGCCGCGCAAATATTTAGCTTTGTAAAAATCTAAGCTTTATGCGTATAAGCTAGTAGTTTGTCTATTCGCGGTATTAGATAAGTATTCTTTTAAGTAATAGAATTTAGCTTAAAGTAATCTATATAGATACGTAGGTCTCCGTTAGGCTTCTAAATACATAGGATAGAGGAGGCGAATAGGCAGTAACTTAAGTTAATGTACTCTTTTTATAGATTTTCTATTATAAAAGTTTTTATAGCTTTTAGCTATTTAGTACTCTACTTATAGTGAGGACTAAATTAATTTAGAAGAGGTTCTATAAGAATAATCTTATAGTCGTATTAATAATATTTTAGTAGCTAATTAGCAGCTATTTTACTAAAAATATCTTAGTATGTATAGTAGTTAGAAGAAAGTTAGTTCTGCACTAATTTAGTATTCTTAGGGTTATCTTATTTTAACCTTTCTTATAAGATTTAATCTATCTTATAGATACTAGTCGTAAAGAAATCATTTTCCTTCCGTTTTATAGTATAATAGAAAGTATTAGTAGAAATAACTACTATACGAGGTGAGGTAGGTTTTAGCGCTAGGGTCTAGAGTAACTTTAGTTTAGGTTGTAAAGGCGGCGGAAGGAGACGTACCTTAGGAATTTTAATAAGTCCTTAAATTTGCTAGACCAGCCCTTATTAGGGCTAGTTTATCTACGGTACTTATCTTTTTCTTAAAGGGCGTCTCTACGCTAGATATCTAGTTACGTATTAGTATTAGAATAGAGTGGTTTTAACTATGCGAGGAGAGAGGGGCTAGAATTATAAGTTAGAGGGTATTAAGCTAGCTATATAATTTAGTTCTGAGTAGTATCTAGCTTTAATTGGAATCGTCGTAACTATTTAATTCTAATAATATAATTCTAAGATCTTAAATCTATAATTATAAAGGGGTAGTGAAGAATCTTTCTTCTATTAATATAGATATATAACTAGATATACTTATCTACTTAGGTCTATATCTAATTATAAAATCCTTTAACTATAATTTTAAAAGATAGTCTGAAGATAGGTACCTAGAGAGAGCCGGATATAGAAAGAGTAATAGTAGAATTTAAGAAAAGAAAACCTTAGGCTCTAGTATTTACTAGAGATTCTAAGCCAAACCTATAACTTTTTAAATATAAAATAGTAGGGGTATAGAAATATTAACCACTAAATAAGTTTAATAGATCTATTTTCGTAAGGTTATACTTATTTATGCCTAGGCTAGAGCGTTTCTTTAGGCCTCGTCGTTTTCTAACTAAGTCTTATCTAAATAATACTTAAAGGCGTCCTTATAATCTTCTATTTCTACTTAAATTTCTCTTATCTACAGGACTAGACAGTTATTAGCGTAGAAGCTAGGCTTACCGTAGTAGTAGTAATTACTAAGAGTAATATTATCTAGTATAGGAGTTTTCGATGCTAGTCTAGGAGTAGAGGAATAGACGCGGTACGGAGTTAGGGCTAGATTGGGCCTAGTATTGTAGGTACGGGGTTAAAACTCCTAATTTAGCTGTAGATTTTGTTTTATTAAGAGAGCTAAAGCTTAACTAGGCCTAGGTTCCATATAGGTACTAAGTAGTGCGTTTCTTCTTTCTATATTAAAAGCCGTTAGGTGCTGAACTATTTTTTTAAACGAGCCTGCCCATAGATGCTTAAATTCTAAGTTTAGGGCTCGTAGCGCTGGTATAATCTTCTCTTAGAGGTAGAAGAACTATTCTAGTCTTAATATGGACTCTTTTACGGCTATACTAATAAAGTGCGCTTTAAATTCTGTAAAGGCCTCTTTTCTTTCTATTAATAGGTAGTAGAAAGCTGCTTAACTCTCCGCCTATTTATTTCTAGATATAAAATATAATTTAAGTAGTATAATTATATCTTTAGTACTTAAGAACTATTCCTTCTCTGATTTAGTAAGGTATTATAGTTCTAGGTATTCTTCTGCTATGCCTATTATATAACTCTATACTAACGCTATTCTTGCGCGCTCGCTCTAATAGTAATCTAAGTTTATTATAAGCTAGTTCTGAATAGAAGCTTATTATTACTGAAAAGTAGAGTTTACTCTATTACTTAGATTATTAATTAGAGGGGTACGCTCGCTAAGTTTAGTATATTAAGAGTTAGGTATAACTAATAGGAACTTTGCTAATAGTTAGCTAGGTAGTTTGGTTATAGTTAGAGAGGTTTCGGTAGTAAGTACTAGTATATTCTAGTTTAGGGTATTTTCCCGTATTAATTATTTAACTTAGACGTTTAGTCTATTAATTTCTGCCTATAGGGTACTAGTGTGATCCTTTTCTAATTCTTCTTCTTCTTCTATCTTAATAGTAGGCTGCTTACTAGCTATATTCTTCTATTAGGGTTTTTGCGTTTATTAGTAAGTTGTTCTTCTTAATAGTTCTATAGAATTAGTAGTGTTTTAGTTAACTATAGCGATTAATTCCTAGGTCAATAGGTTCTTAGTAGTCTCTATGTCTTTACCTTAGCGTACTCTATGCGGCTTTTCCGAAGTTAATCTAACTCGCGTGAGTATAGAAATTCTAAACCTAAAGGCTTTAGTTAATAGGAGGTTAATAGGATTCTGTCTATGTAAATATTAGATATAATGGTGTAAGGTTCTAGATTAACGCTAGGAATACTTAGTTTTAGACGTAGTCTAAACAGACAGCTGCGATATTATTTAAATGCCGTTACTGGCGGTGGCGAGATTTTTAATATAATGTAACGGCGCAGGCAAGACTACTTAGATTAGTATTAGCGGTAGTGTCACTTAGAGGTATATAGGAGTGCGTAGGATATTAAACGAGCCTTAATTTGAATAGACACCTATAGGCCTTGTACGAAAGGATATTAAAAATCTATTAAGCTATAGTATAGAGAAGGTGGGGTTTTATATTAGCAGATCTGCTCTTGGCTAGTGCGCGCCTATATTCGGATCCCTTTCGGATATTAGTTTAATGTGTACTCGAACTGTTATATTATCTAGTGGATTCTATTACGTATTGAATCCGTCCCTAGTAGGATTAATGATAACATTCTTTAGTCTAAGAGCTACGCTCTGTTTAACCACTGCGCTTACTATACCTAAGTAGCTGAACTTTATCTTGTCTTAGCAGCTTATACGGACTTAAAACTTCTAGGTCTTATCTTCTAGAACCTAAATCTAGTTATATTAGTTGCTTAATATCGTATACTATATCTCTATCTAGTCGCCGAATAAGCTACGCTTTCTTCTAATGTTGTAGCCTTAAGCACTATAAACTTTATTATAAGCCACTTTAATACTATAGAACGCAGTTATAGCTTAGATTTTAATAGAAATATTATATAATTGTAATAGTTTGAGTACTTACTGAACTAACATCCAAAAGGGATCTAAACATAGGCACGCACTAGCCTAGGGCAGATCTACTAATATAAAACTCTACCTGTTCTCTATAGTAGCTTGATATATTTTTAATATCTTTTCGTATAAGGCCTATAGGTGTCTATTTAAATTAAGGCTAGTTTAATGTTCTACGCACTTTTATATGCCTCTAAGTGACACTACTACCAATACTAATCTAAGTAGTCTTGCCTACTTGGTTACAATAATAGCTTAGGAAGATTAGTAGAAATATTAATTTTGTTAGACCTAATACTATATTTCTTATAAATAATATATGAGAATACTTCCGTAATCTAATATTCTCCACCATTATATAAATACCGCCTATTAAAGATAGTGAGATAATTATCTAGTTCTCCTATAATAAATAAGTTAGTAATAAAATAGGGAGAATAGATTGTATAGCGTATAGGTGTTACACGGGGTAAGGGTCTATACTTCTCTATCCTGGTCCGCACTAAGGCAGGTAAGTATTACGTTAGTGTTCCGTGAGGCTTGTCTGGCGATGCAGTGGAGTTAGCGTGCTTAAGAAGAGTTTAATAAGACTAATCTATTTGATAGACTAACTTGTGATAATCTTGTTAAGTAAAGATACTAGTAAGAAAGTACAATTTGAGTTGACCACAACGAATGTAATAATGAAATCTAACTCATTCTTATATCCGTTGCCTTTAGTCCTGCCATCCCTTACTTCCCTACTATCTCTGGGATAGTTGTGATATTGGGGATGGCTGCCATCCTAAGACGTCCTACTATCTCTCAGATAGTTGCTCTTAGCGGGATAGCACATCACGTAACCTAGCCCCGCGATAATTATTACCTTCTAACGTAGACGTCTATAGGCCTTCAGCCATCTCGTTATTTATTAAGGAGAGAATCCTTCTTATTACTTATAATATTACCTCCTCTCTTAGGGCTATCATCCTAATACTCTAGACTATTGTTTTCCCGTACCGCGTGTTGAGACGCCGGCTGTATATAAGGTTAGAGCCCGTCCACTTATTATAGCCGTTTCTACCTCGTAGCCTTCCTAACTATGTCTAAGGTCTAGCCTATTCGCTAATCTCGAAAGTACACTTCAACTAAGGAGCGCTAATATCGTGCTTTAAAAGTAGAGAGTGCTTATTTAGAAATAGTTACTAAGTATAATTATTATAAGGAGAAGGGTCTACGTTATTTCGTTAATATAGCGTCTAGGTAGTATATAGGTTGTATTACTATAAAGGCGGAGTATAGTCTTTTTATTTCTAATAAAGATTAGGAGAAGGTTCAGCAAGAAAAGCGTCAGAAGCGTCTTAAGATTACCTAATTAGAGGCGTAATTAGCTTAAAGAAAGGTTAAGCTTCTAGAGGCTAAGAAGTAAGAGCACTTATTTACTCGTCGCGATCTAGCAGTGCTGAAAGAGTTAGAGCGCGCAAAAGAGCAGGTTATAGAGAGTTCGGCCTCTAGTACTAATTCTTCTGCTATTAAACCATCGCTATCTAAACTATCAGCTAATCTAGGCGGGTTATAGGCTGATTACTACAATCCTTCTTTTAATTATTCCTTCCTCTTTAAGGGGCTACCCCTCGCTTCTCTAGGTGCTTCTAGTAGTATTCTCGTACTAGTAACTTATAGTTCGTTAGATTTCCTTTAGGTTCTTAAGTGTTATAGCTCTCAGGCCATCCTTACCACTTAACTAAGTACTTTCACTAACTACCGATTTTCCGCAGGTCCTTAATTTCCTCAACCTCGTACTCGTTATCTTTAAGCTCTATATCCGTTGCTAGCTTAGTATCTAGAGGTACTAGTTCTAGAAGTTTCTTATAAAAGATAGAGTAGATTTATATACCTTATAAGAGTTTTAACTTATAGTTTACTTTTCTTATTTTCTCTAGAATTTTAAATAGTCCTATTTAGAGGTTGTCTAATTTTCTATATAGTTATTTAGTTTTTAGGTTTTATCTTAATAGGAAAACTTTATTCCCTTTCTTAAAGGTTAGTCTCTTAATTCTTTATTTATTTACTACTTTAGATATTATAAGGTTCTATTAAGCTATATTCTTACTTAGTTCTTTATATAATTCTCGCATAAGCTTCGCTTTATTATCTACTTCTACTATAATACTTTTAATATCTTTTAGATTCTAATAAGTAGTTAGCTCGTATCTGTAGTTCGCGTAGTACGGCGAATACTTTGTTATTACTAATTTTATACTATTATAGGCTAGTTACGCTATTAGTAATAATTCTACCTAGTTATTCTATAACTTATTAGCGTATATCTTTAAGTACTATTCTAATGTTTAGTTTGTGCGTTTTATCTAGCTGTCTATTTCTAAGTAAAAGCTTATTAAAGCTTCTTCTTAATACCTAACTTTACTAGAAATGTGCTCTAGTATTTAGACGTAAATAGTTTATTACGATTAGTAATAAACTCTTTAGATATTCTATACTCTAATACTAGTGCTTTAGTAACTTCGTACGCGTATTTATCTACTATAATAGTCTCTTCTATAGATATAAACTTTACTACTTTAGTTAATTAGTCTATAATTACTAAGATA